TGTCCCGAACATTGCTCCAAGGTCTTGGATTCTCCTGAATTCTACGAGACCCGCGATCATCCATTTTCACTCTATTTTAGTGTACCGATTACTATTTACAGTTGCTGCTGCGGTACTGTTTTCCAAAAATGTTTAAATTCCGCACAAAAACAAAAAAGTGGGTTACCACACAAGCTGTTTACAATCTTGTTTACAATCGTTATAAACTTTCCATTTGCATTTAAACGGACTTTAACCACAATATCTATTTGGTGTAGCATGCATCAAATCCAATGCACATGAAACAATACTTTTTTTCAAACTTTGTCACGACCCCATCAATAATTCTGCTCATCACGTTTTGACATCAAAAGCAATATCAATCAATTTGTGGCGCCAAGATGGACACATTGAATCTAACATTGTTAATGTAAGATTAAAAATATTTGCATTCGTATATTGCTTGAACATAGAATGCGCTGCAACATGAAGATTATGAAATATCTTTGAAATGAAAATGAACGCGAATCACAAACTTACAAAAAAAACTGTGGATCGAAGAATCCAATGCTATTAAAAAAGCTAAAACTTCCAACTATTTCAAGATTTTATGCATAATCAAGAAATTAGCATCGAGAGTAAGGGAATGGAGCCATTTCCGTCCCCAATTCTTCTCATAGAACCGTACGAGAACGTTATCGCTCATACGGCTTCCAACTCCAATCTTTTATGTTGTAGAGTTTAATCATGGAGAATCATAGGCCTGCCCCCTTCTCGGTTTTGGGTTTGACAGAGCCCTAGGGGGACTGTCAGAGAAAAAAAGGAAAAAAAACGGATGCTTTCAAAAAAAAAGAAAAAAACTGACAGGGTTTTAGGAAAAATCAGTTCGTTACAACAACAACAATGTTAGAGCTATAACAATGCGAGCAAAATTCTATATTAAGCATTGTGAAACATATTCTATATTGCCAAGATTGATTAATTGCTTGGTGTATTGCAAAACTGCAGCAATAATTCATGAGACAGTTATGAGATGACCATGTGAAATTGCAAAACAATATTAATCATGATCACATAATTGTCATCATTTTGGAACTGAAATAAGAACAAAACTCTCCCTTGTGGATCTTCGGCAAGATGAGCTGATCAAAAAATAAGGCGTTGATGATATTATCAATAATATCTTAATTGAATGTTAAAATGATGGATTGAACTCTAAACCAAAATGAAAATGAAAATTGTTAACTATATATGTGTCTTCTTCAAAGAATGTTCTCTTGATTTAGAATTGTGGGCTTGATAGATCAATCATTGGTCTTGATGTTAAACTCTATGATGTCTTTCATAGAGTTCTTGACAAAACAATTTCCAGGTTTTTATTTTTGTTGTCTGTTTACGCTCACATTGATGTCATAGGAATCTAATCCTTTACAAAATAAATGCAGAACTTGTAGCAAATAAATGACACTCGCTTGATGACGGGATCGATATGCATAACCTTCAGATGACAACTTGTGGGACGGATACTTATGATTGCTCCTACAATGGCAATGCTTTGATGTAGCAGGAAGTCAATGGAGTGGAATTGAACCTTCCCAAAGAACTGCAGACTCCATGAGGTCTATGCTTGCTCTATCAAAAGTTAGGATTAATTTTGACAACTTTTAAATCTTACTATCTTCAATTTTATAAATATTAGGTTACTATAAACAGATTATTAAATTTAAACCGACATACTTTAGCCCAAATAACTTTAGGATATTGTCTTCAAGAGCAATGTTGTTAATTTATTGTAACATTAGGATTTAGACACAAGTTCACTCAAAGATGAAAACATAAACTCTGAAGATGAGAGATATCAACCATGGTTTTTCTTTTTCTTATATAGCTCTCACCAACAAATACAAGGAGATAAGATCTTATCCCCACCATCCATCCCAATCCTAGTGGATAGATGACGTAACAGATAACCCTAACAAGCACACGGATTGCTGACGTGACACTCCCAACTAACACACTCAATCTTTACCTAACAAGCACACGAATCTCTAACGTGGCAATGTCAACTAACACATCTACTCTTTTACCTATCAAGTGCGCGGATCAATGACATGACATCTATGACTAGTGCACGCTAAAATATCTATATTAACATTTAGAGTATCATCTATTTTAGTTTTAACTAACTAAAGATGGTTACATATATAGTTTACGGAGTGCAATTATGATAATTTATTGGATTTTTTTTGTACTTTTTCCCTTCATTCTACGTAGGTATATTAACGATCAATGTCTTATACAAACCATAATTCATTGGCTTTTTAATGTACCCAACTCTCACTAATAAACTATTACTTTTACTTGTTTTTTTAACAGATAGTTTCAATCTCACACATTCGTTAGCGCTACAATGATTGTATCTCATTCATATTTGTAGTTCCCAAGGTTACAAATGATAACAAATTTTCTATCATATTATTTTTATTTTCTTTCATGAAAATTTTGATAGATTCAGCTGCTTGTGACTGCAATGCTTCCCTTAGAGATAAGGCTGAAATGCTCCCCCAATGCATATGACGTGATCAGATTTAAAGACCAATCAATCGATCACTCAACAAATTGAGTTCGAGTAGTTACGCGCAATCCGCCATGTTGTGACGCAAATAAAAATTTGGCAACAAGCTTGGACCAATTAAATCACACATAAGATTCGCATATGATTTGAGTGAAAATTGAGCTGTATGGAGGATTCGCCTACCAATCTTCTACTGCTATATTGCAAAGTGGTAGCAACGGCCGGTCACACAAATCTCAACTTTTGCCCATGCTCATTTTACAAAAAAATCAGTCTTTATTTTTTCCAAACCCATCTCGTCTTCCTCACAAGTCCATTCACCATCACGTTATATTGCTGACCGGCTGATCTTCATGCAAATCAAAACTCTTGAATGCACTACAAGAGCAATGCAATCTTGAAATTTTCATCTCTCAATTCCTCACACTAATTTTGACAACTGTTATGATACCAACATAGCTTGCCTTTAACAAATGTAGGTTGTTCTGGGTAAATGATTTTTTTTATTGTGGACGTAACCGAGAGTGACAAATCACATATTTTTGTTGTTGATTTTCTTGTTTTTTTGAGTAAATTCTTGTGTTTTTTCTATTAATAATCAAACATGGTGTAATCAATTATAGTTACATAAATTTAGGTAAATATGACCCTTTGTAAATCATATATAGTAATTATGATCAGATTTTTGTATTTTTTTTTTCATTTTCCGTGTCATTGAAACTTTAGATTTGAAGATGATTGAGGTAAATCTTATCTCAATATATATGTTGGTTAGATATATGTGAGCATTTGAAAAATTATTTGAATTATCTTTTATCTTCAAAATATTGTATCATATTTAAATGTATATAATGTTACAATATTATCATAACTACATTATATTTTCCTCTGGTGAACATAATTTTCATGAAAATTATTTCATGATTGTGATCTCATCATTTTCATGATAAGAAAATGATTGTAAGATTTTTTTAAGCACAAAAGTAAAATTATGATATTCAAAAAATACAACATTGATTGTAATTATTAAAAAAAATTTGTGATATCTAATTTTTTATAAAAAATATGAATCGAATCGAAACCTTGGAAAATGTTTAACTCTGTATCTATGATCGAGTAAGAAAATTTAATTTAATATGTACATCAACTATAAATAAGAGAATTATATTAAATAAATATATCCAAATGCACATGACATTACAAAAATGCATTATTAAGTATTATTCAACATAAAATGATTCAATGCAAATAACGTTAGAAAATTTTGTAGCGTATAGAATGTTATTTATCCACTATATATAGTATTTTTTATATGAGGACATTGCTAAGGACTAAAAATATGGACATCTTTGGTGGAAAAAATAAATATCAGTAACTGAAATGGGTCTCATTCCATGAGACGCACTTCCTTTTACGTCACTCGACGTGAGTAATTCATGGGACATCAATGTAGATTCTGCGCGGAAGACTCTTCTAACTTATTGAGCAGGTTAGTTCAAACCTTCGCGCCTTGTTGACCACGCCCTTCTTCCATATACACGGTGAACTTTGCCCTCGAGCCGTGTCCCAGTAGATTCGACCTCAGATCGCGATGACACGTCCATTCCAGGGAGGGTGGGTATTGCAAATGTTGACGAGAGTGCCCTACTCTCCCAGAAGCAAACACAAGCTTTGAGTCACTTGGAACGAACAGCTTGCCACATTGGAGATCGCCACGTGCCCATCCGAGTTGAATTTCAGCCGGCGAGTAATATCACAGCACTGTATCTGATCGACAACTCTCACCTCGACCGTAGAATTTGCATTCTCTAAATGCAGACTATGTGGTTCACATTATAATTTTTCCTTGTTTCCTTGACTCGCCCTTGGTGTGATATTGTGTCCCCTTCAGTTACTCCTATATGAATAAAAAGGTTAGAAGTCAATATCAGTAAAAGAATGGTCAGACGCCATCAAACCAAACATAGGGTTAGGTCTAATAGTATTACAGAGTAAAATAATAATAATTAAGCACTTAATGTTGCTTCGTATTTTTATCCCTGAGCAACTTTATAATGATTGATACGTAGTTTTCTGCACATATTTCCATATTGTTTGTTCTAGCTGTAGGAAGCGTGGATATGTACATAACATCAATGGATTGTGGATGCGGGACTTTCCTCAGAAGTCGAATTCTAAAATGGATGTATATAATTCAGTAAATTTGCTTACTTTTCGGTCTTTTATCAAAGAGGAAAAATATTATCTCTTACCGGGTGTCAATGCCCGGTAATTTTTGGGAACTGTATATTTGTTTACTCACTGTGGAAACTCGTAACTGCAATCAGGAACTGCCTACATCCGGTTACCGGTGACTTCTCTGTGTCAATTCCCTGTACATCGTCACTTTCCGAATGACCCTGGCTGGGAATTTGAATGTTTGAATCCCTCTCGTCGAATTCAAATTTGAAAGCCTCTGACTTGTCCCGAACAGCTTCAAGCCCGCTACCGTTCTTGTTCATGTGCACGCTCTGCGTCGTCAGCGCGGCCACAGATAGCTTCCATTCCCGCATCGAGGACGTGGCTGCGCATCGCGTTCAGTTCAGTTCACGTTTCTCCGACCGGATGCTTGAGCAGCGAGCTCTCGTCGGGCGCATGTACTGGAGATTGCATGGGTCAGTGTTTCAAATTCGCCGATGTTTCTATCTTCGACACGCATCCGCGTCGTCGTCGTCGTCTGAGGCCTCTGTGTATACTGATCGATGTTCATATGGAGTCACAGTGGAATTCGGCCTAAGTCTCCAGAACATTCTTGTGATTATTGAGCCTTTGTCTCCTGATGCTGATCCTTATGGTTATGGTGTGCAGGGCGGTGATTACCTGGAGAGTTTCCTGCTCTGATTTTTGAAAGCTCGTTGCGTACTTGCTCCTGCCTGAGAGGATTGGAAATCCCTGCACACATCGAAGCAGCATATAGTTCTTTATGGCCAACTATTATGATTTAGATGACATTTTGACGGAAGAGGAGGTAATTGATACCTTGTTGAAAGATATCGGAAGCATGTTGTTTCATTTCAGCATAAGCGAAATTTTCATTCAGTGGTTCCAAGCAGCACACATAATTGAACAACGGGATTACTTATTTCCGAATGTCCACTGCAGACTGTTAATGTCCACTTCAGATTCGAAGCTGCCGGCCTTGGCGTACTAGATCCAGGTTCCGAGCATGAAAATGTACAACTCCTACCCTTCTTCGATTTACGCTCTGAGCTTGTTGAAGTTAGATACGTGACAACCTTCACTGCGGACCATTTTCTATGCCTGTGCATCAAGCTCTCATCCTTGCTGAGTTGTAGGAAGAATCTGTCACGTTATCACCCGGTAACTTACTATTGCTTTACTGATTCATCTAACCTCAAACATTCTGTTTGGATATTCAGATAGATGCCGGATCCGATGTCGATATTCCCTTATGGCTCGCACATGATCTTTGCAACAGAAAATTTGTCACCGTCAAGTTACCTTATTTCTACAACGAGCGGTAAGTTGAGGTTGATGAATTCTTATACGTCTATGCATCAACCTTTCTGCAATTTTTGATTCCAACTGCTTCTCAATTAGATGGCTGTAGAGATCAAGCTGAATCCTCGTTTATCATTGGAACTTCTTCTCTGAATGCTGAATCCTACTTTTCTGTTTTAAGATAACCTTGTGAGAAGTGAATTCTTGCTCATTGCCCACTCTCGAACGCAGAGTGAAGAAGGAGATTCGAGCTGATGCTTCATGCGTTGACTTGCGAAGATGGTGCCCGTATTTTTACGAATTGGGCTTGAAACTAGCTCCAATGTAAGGCGAATTCAAGCTCTGGCATTGAATGTTTCCAATTTTTTCAAATTTGAAATCCCAATCGGACAAGCCATCTGGCTACTTTTATCAATGCACTGATGATTATTGTCTGGCTCTTTTCAGGTCTTCGGATCCAACTTTGGGATCTTTCCTACTCTACTGCCTTCAGGGCCGTTACAAGGAAATGCTGTGCAAGTCTCACACGGTTGCTCTGACCACTGCTCCAAAGTTTGTCACATTGTTGACCCAGGAAGAGTTTCATTGTAAGAATCAACCCAATTCAGTCCGCATATTTTGTGTTGGTGTTCATAATGTTAGAGTGCATATCTACAATGTCGGGTAAATTGTGACAGTGAAATTTGCCTCATTCTGCTATCAGCACCTCATTTTTTGTTCTCGATTGCAGTATTTGAGGCAGCTCGTGATTCCATGAAAGCGTTCAACAAGTGGAGGTTTCAAGGTTGCAGACTTGAGCGCGCTGCTGTACTGGGCAGAAAAAGGCGCCACATTGCCGTTCTCTCCCCGTTCGAGCTGTCTTGAGTGAAAGTCCGTGAATTCACAATTGATCGATTCGATCGATCAACAGTCAATCATCTATGAAGAGAATTCACAAATGATGGATCCAATCTATGACGAGACGTGGAGAGCTGACATTGGTGAACACACACAATTGATTCTTTCTATCAATTAGAGGGGACAAGAGCTCGTGTTCTTCGGCTCTACAACATGCGCTCATTTCAGATGTACAGAGGACAGCCCTTGGAAGATTGTACAGATAAATGACGGCCTTGTGACTCTTAGAAAGGAGTACAGTGACTGAAACAAAGTTAAATCCTCATCGAATGGAGTTAATCGACATAATCCAATGTAGTTGAGGCCTGCAGTGAACACCTACATATAGATTGAATCCAATTTAGAACTGGATTCAATGAAAGGAATCCATGCTAGTAGTAGGAGGTCGAATGTAATAGAATAATGTAATGGTTCTCAAATGACGAATGGAACAACAGATCAACTCAATGTTCCACACATTCACCAAGGGAACCCGTGTCCGTATAGTAACAGATTTCGAGTGACGCTGGCATCAACACACCATAAAAGTTGGCAAAGCAAGCAAGTGGTGCAAGTTGTGGCAGAAAAGATGAAAGTGGCTTCTCCCTTTTCAGCATCTTGAAGCATGTAAGCTGTTTAGTGCGTCTAGAATACCCACTCATCTCACTCAGTCAAGAAGAGACTATCTCAGCAATATTGCTTTCATACTAAAACGCAGTCCATCATTTACTGTTACAAGTATTGATTACGTCCCTTACACTGTGTTCTGAGCTTTCTTCTCTTCTGTGTCTCAGGGGGTGGTGCTTGTCGCCCAACAGTGGCGGGATCACATTGATAACATATAGTCATCTCTCTTTGGGTGGTCGGAACGTGTGCTCCTACAACCCCAACACTTGACATGAAGGATTCGCAGTGCAATACGGAGGACCAGTGTGTGGCTTCTATGGTCTCTAATCTTGACCAAGTCGGCGCAAACTGCCTGTACAAAAAGTCGCATTGCCTTTTATGATAAAGTCAATGCGAGAACGACCTTTGCTGACGGATATCGTAAACTCTTCGACACACACAGATGGACGAGTGACGTGTATAAGCAACCTTCAATGAACACAAAGAGGCTAGAAATCAATCTGTCGATTAGGAGGCCTAGATTCGGAGGTTCTCAGCTCTCTAGTTTCACTCAGAACAGCGCAAAGCTTTACTCAGATCTTGCAACAAGGTCAAAAGCCACATATTGTACGTTCACACTTCACCTTGATTAAAACCTCTAGAAAACAATGGATCTCGGTCACAATGGAGGTCGATACAGCAAAATCAAAACAGCTGTATCAAAATACAACAGATTCCTTTTGGAACATCAATCCTGTAGATCTTCCAGCGGGAAGAAAGACTGGGCCTTTAAGGTGAAGAGAGGACTTGCTGGTGAGTTTTGCCAACGGGATGCAGTCAATAATGTGATGTTGACTAGCATGAAACTTCTGCTCTAGTGGCAGGGTATGGTTATACGAAAATGATTTTAGCCCTTGCACTTGAAGATGACCGGGAGATGGAGCAACTAGATGAGAGAAGATGGAGATTTGGAGGAAGAAATGTACATGGGTGAACTAGATGGGCTACTCCAGCTCCAACTCTGGGAAAGTTTGCTCCCTCAGAGTAGCTTTGTGTGGGTTGAAGCTGAAGCTGAAGCAAGCTCCTAGGAGTCGGTTCCAGAAGCTTGAGGATGCAACCCTTCACGAGAGCACGTCCAGACTTGAGTGTCTACTACGATCATGAAGAACTAACTCTACATAATAATTTATGTAGTTCGTGCACGTCACGAAATTTCTACCCTACCCTGTCCTGTAGTAATGATTGTTCATCGCATCATTTGAATTACTTTTGTATACATGATCAACTAGACATATTTTTTTTATCGATGAATGAATAATCAAAACGCTTATAAATCCAAATGTGAACAGAAATACGATACATTGTTCCCAATAGTTGGAAAATAATTTGTGAAAAGATGTGTTTTATGAAACTAGCGATCAGACTCTTAAATCACATTCCCTCCGTCAAGTATTCAATATGTTTCTATTTTCATTTCATCATTACTTTCAGATCTTTGAAATCAGTATTTTGAGAGATACATTTGTAGAAACATGATTGTTTGCGACCATTGTTGAGATTGAAGCGATTCATTTTGGTTGCGGTTTTGTACTTAGCAACATCATTCCCAGGGATGGAGTCAAAGTTTCAATACTGTCCTATTGACCAACCCACATGTGTGAGAACTGTGACTTTAACCCGTGAAAGGACGAAATCAGAATTATGTACAATATGGAATCATGTTAGATTCGGATTTGATTGAAACTCAGAAAGCAGATTGTACCAACAAATTCTAACGTGCATGAGAGTCCATACCTGGAGAATAGGGAACACACATGTGACTCTCCTTTTGGATACGCGAAATCGCATCTAGATCAAGAAGAAGAAGTTATAGTAAATGGTAAATAGATCAAACACGTGGGACCCATAGTATCAAAAGGCTAAAAAACACAATACAAATAAACTCCAAATCAGGAAAGAACCAAAAGAATACTCTAACTAGTGTACAGATCACTAGAATGAAAACTAATAACATTCGTCATAAAACAACCTAAATCACAAAAATCAAGTTGTAATAAAGAATAAAAATTCTCAACAACTTTATGAGTCACTCCTATATATCTAGTATAAGTAAGAAACACATGCTATTCATCCTCAACTTTTCTCCCATCACATAGCTTACAAATACGTTCACTTCTATCACTGTTCAACTAACGTACTTCCTCAATTCCAAGACTATGAGATCCTGTTCTATACCAAGCAATGATTTAACGTAAAGATGTAGAGATCTCCTCAAGTAGGTACCCTTGTTTACAATAAACAAGCATAGGATGCACACCTCGTCTAATCCAAATAATGCTGAAAAATTCCTCCTTAATACGCTCGCGAATGGCCATAGGTTGCAAATCCCAATTGAGTTTCGTCACATTCTAATTCAAAGACCAAGTCACTACATCTGCAAACCATCTCTTGGTACGTGTGGCATGCAAAGCTTCAAGAGTAAGTCTAGAAGCATCAAAAGATCTCACTCGTGTGATGTAAATGATAGTCTAGAGGAGAACTTCAACCTCAAGAGGTAGACAACATGTTTTCGCAAGAAGAATAGCATATGAAGTTTGGATTCTCACATCCAATTTTTCTTGTAAGAAGATCTTTTGCACCCTCTCCAAAAGCTGCCAACCCATCTTACTACAGCCAGTACCCCACACTTGTATTCCATATAAGATAATCGGAAACACTAAGCTCATGAATAAGAATTTCCTAAGACTTCAACACACTATATGAGCTACTCTACATCTATTTAGGCATGAATATAGAGCTTTGAAACCAAAAGATGGTTTCAAAGCTCTATATTCATTGCTTTATATTCACAAAATGCTCAACTACAATCGTGGAAGAAATCAATGTCTAAATATTTGTAACTCCTCATTTGTTCCAACTCTAATCCTTTGTAAAAGAAAGAAAGCTTGGATCTACTGCCCACAAGAACGACTTTTGACTTCTCCAAATTAAACTCCATCTGATTTTGAGTACAAAAGCTAGCCAAAGTGTCAAGATATTTTTGTAAACTAATGGCATCACATATGACATCATCTACATACCAAAAACCTTTGATGACAACGCTTCCAAGTTTAGCACTTTCACTTTCACAATGCTCTAGTCTTCTTTCTAAATTATCTATGAAAACCCCAAATAGAGTAGGAGAGAGAGTAGCATCTTCAGTGACTCCAATGAAACTCAAAATTTCTTTGGTTTGAGAAGTGTTGATCTTGAACTAAACATAATGATATAATGTGGCCACAGCTATTAAGAGATTTGATGATACTCCAATAGTTTGCAATCTTTTCAATAAAAGCTCACGAGATATTGTCTCAAAAGTTTTCTTAAACTCACAAAACAAGACTTTTCCATTGCTCTTAGACTTCTTCTTATAATATGAAAAACCAAGATATGACCTATAGTGTTGAATGTAGGACAAAAACCAGCTTGGAACCGTGCTCTTCTCCGACAAAATTCAGCCCATGTGCTCAACTTTGATTGCACCAATTTGCCAAATAACTTGGCAAAAAAACTACCCATCATGATATTCCGATAGTTTGTCACCAAATCCTTGCTCATAGATTTGTGAATAGGAAAAACTTTTTGTATAAATCAAGTTGAAGAAATAACATAGATAGAAGCATTCTCTAACACTTTAATGAGTATAGATCCAATAGCATCTACTCCCCACTTGAGAAGTTTAATAGAAAGACCATCCAAATCCTTACATTTATCATTTGACAATTTTCAGAGTTGGGTCATCACTTTGTTGAGGTTAACTCCGATTAAGAAATAACCTCACATTTTAGCATTTTATAGTTGAAAATGATTGCTGGTGTTGGGTATACAGTTGCCGCGGTTTGTGAATACCAGACAGTATCAACAGTATATCACGATGCTTTTCCCCATAGACGTAGTCCTTGAGGATGAATCGCTTCATACAAAAATCATGATTTAGGTTTGAAGTGAAAGATTTGAAAGTTTTTCTAGGTTAGATGCAATTTGAGGTTTTTTCTAAAGCAGAATGGTATCAAACCTGATTGATTTATAACAAGTTTCAAAAGTAAGAATCTCGTGCAATTTTGAAAGTTAAGGTTTTATATGAAAGTTTTCTTGGAGGAGAGTGGTATCAAACCTGATTGGATTATTGACGATGTTTTCTGAAAGTGTATTTTCATCAACAGTTTTTTGATAGTTTTCAAACATGCGCTGTGTGTTTTGAGAACGTGAATCTCAGTGGAGGTTTGTATCTCCGTAGAGGGTTTTATGACAATTCTGAACTCAAGTTGGAAAATATCATCTCAAATTTGTCGTTTGTTACATGTTACTAGTTTCGTTAGTCGACCCTGAGAAAGACTGTAGGTATAGAAACTAGATACATCGATGACAAATAGCACAAGCTTTTAGAACCTGGCCAAACTCAACAGGTCACTCCTAAACGAAAATGCTGTGTGATACGACATGTTCTTGTCTAACAATTCACTCCACTTTAGATTCTTCTACAATGCACACTGCCCAACATTACCAGCGGGAGTAGGCTTTAAAACATTGAAGTAAAAGAGCAGGAAGAGAAAGTGATGGATAACAATGATCGAAGCGGATCGCATGTAGAAAAGAATCGGATCACACACTCACAAATCTGCAGATTTTGCTACAATCTCAATGGCAAACTCATGATGATAACAAAACTCATGTCTGACAACGTTGAGCTTGTTTTGCTGCCCATCCCTTCAACCGAGCTCCAACCAATAGTTGTCCACTGTAGTTCCATTTGACTCAATTTGGAGGAGATGGGAGTTGAGGGAGGCACTGGGGATGAGATCACTTCATACTCTGCTCAGACAATCGTTGTATCCAAGTGAGGAAGGTAGACGAGATTTATTGTGGCCTCGTGAACAAACATGTCATCTCAATCTGAACGAAAGGCGAGTCAGGTTAGAGGACTTCGACACCATGGGATACGACGCAGAGATCATCGATTCCCTGTACAAAAATTGCCTCTTCTACTTCACTTTGTTGAAGAACTCCCGCATCGCATACGGCCTCTTCTACCAGATTATGTCTATGAGGACTGTGCGGAATCTCGGGGCAGAAATTGACGTTGTGAGATGCGTCCAAGACTTCCTCATTCTAGCAACCAAGGCTCGTCTTGTATCCACTCTGGGTGTGGACTTGCCTGTGGCTTATGGAGGAGATGAAAGCCTTGGACTTGAAAAGCCCATGTCTTGTTGGAACTTTATAACGATCGTAGATAGAATACTATCATAGTAGTAATGCTTCTGTACGCGCTCGTGTCTTTTTGAACCCTTTCAGATTCCTGTATGTTGAAATTGAACAATTATATCGGATTTTGTATGTGTGAAATAGATATAGAAGTAACCAAAAAGTTAATCATGGTTATGTTAGTTATGACTAAGTTTAGCTAGTTATGGTTAAGTCTAGCTAGTTGTAACTAAGTTTATCAAGTTATAATTATATTAGCTATAATGTCTATACTTGGAAGAATAACTAGAGAAGTTTTAAAAGATTTGAGTGAGCATTTCTATTTTGTTTAGTACAAAATTCTAGATTCCAATGGAAAAGACTTTTGACTTTATGTTTATTTTTGATTGGTTTGATTAAATAATGGGAACTTCATTTGTTAGACTAAGTGGCAAGTGGTGTTTCTAGAAGTTAGAAAGTCACAAATGGCATGTCGCCACCTCAATCTAGGAATTAGTAAACATTTAGAAGGCCAATGATATACGTATTGATAATTAGTCAAACTTACTATGGTTTATCTTTGTAAGAGTAAGTTAGATAAGAATTACAATTTGTTACTATGGTAAATTTTCAAGTAGTTTATATAGAGAGGTAGGGAAGAGACTCTCAAGCAAGTTTGGGGAGTTCATGTGTAAAAACTTGTTTCATATATGAAAGAGTGTCGATATTGAGTATCTTGAGGTGTCGATGTGTGTGTGACTTGACTGATGAGTGGAGAAATGGTGTGAGAGGGTGCTTGAGGTATGGGCATGAGGGGTAATCGTAGTCTTCTAGAACCATGATAAGCTACCGCAAAGCCATCTCAGGTAAACTTGAGTGAGATTCAACCCGGAGGTTGTAGAGCCGAGCTGCGGACACAAGATCGGATGAGTGAGTGTGACAGTTGTCAAGGTGTGGTTAGACACAAAAAATAAAATTACGAATTGGCAAAGACGACCGCCTGGTAGAGGTTGGCGTGGAGTGAACAAGCAGTGATTGCGCAAGGAAGAATCAAGCGACTGGGAAAGTGGAGGGTCCATGCGCCAAGCCACCTTTTCCTCAAGCGGTAGGGCCTGAACGTGAACCGAATACAAGTGGCAACAGCAAGACGGCTGTCTTTTGTTTGATCAAAATATTACTTTTGGTGAAGATCAATCAACGGTGAAAATTGATGGTGAATAATCAACGGTGACGACAATGCTAACGGTAAGTCATGGGCAACAATGATGATCGCCGGTGTAGTTAATCGCGGGTGATGGTGTTTCAATTGCGGTCGACAGACGCGAGTGATGGTCGCATGTGCAAGCGACACGTGGCGGACAAACTAGACAGATCTATGATTGAGCTAGTCAAGATTGACAGTAAACTCAATCGAGCTGATGCGATGATCAAAGTTGAGGATTCAAGCGAAATTGTGCTGCCATGCAAGTTTTGCATGGGGAGCACAGGACGATTGTTAGTAACCTATATATATTATTACTCTATACTCTTTTGGCTACGGTTGAGTTCTAGTTAACTCTTGTTTAAAGAGGGAGCTTGTGTTAGGTTTTCGTTTATAACTTTTTGCGGAATAATAATATAGATTAGAGAGTGGAATCCTTAACACGAGTTAAGGAGGAGATTGTTGAGTTTAACTTCAGTTAAGAAGTAACCTCACGTTTAGGTATTTATAGCTAAGATTGGTCGCTGATGTTGGGTATACAGTTATCTTTATATGTTATTAATGGATCGTGTTATGGCTACGGTTTAGTTCGAGTTAACTCTTGTTTAAAGAGTGATCTTGTGTTAGGTTTCTGTCTAAAACTTTTTGCCGAGTAATAATATAGGTTACAGAGGTTATTGATATTCCTTAACACGAATTAAGGGAGAGATTGTTGAGGTTAACTCCAGTTAAGAACTGACCTCTCGTTTAAGTATTTATAGCTAAGATTGGTCGCTGATGTTGGGTATACAGTACTATGATTTGTGTATTACCTGACTGTACGCTCAATATGTCACAATACTTTTCTCCGTGGACATAATCCTTGAAAATGAATCACGTTATACGCTGATGTCTTTTGTGTTGATGGCTTGCTTTGCGGCTTAAGTTTATCACTAATGATTCTCAATTTCTACGTTTACACACTTAAGCTTCAGAAAATAAGCCAGATTTAACTTCACAACGTGGCATTGATGCAACATTGGAAAAAAAAAGCTTTTCAATAAAAAAAATCAAAGATTTGGGATCAAGAGTATGTTTGGAAGATCGTTTTGCGAGCCGATTCCAAAAACATTTGGTATTCTCCAATAGCTCCTTTGTAAAGCACTCTTGCTTCCGCCTCAAAAAAACTTGTTTCCTAGACTTCACCAAGTATTTGTAAAGTCTTGTCGTAACAAGTAGATTGTGAAAATCCAAAGATTTATCAACTATATGAACTATATCTCCAATGGTTGACACCGTAAAGCTTGTCTGTCCAATAATTCTAGTCTTTTCAATGGAACTTAGAAGGTGGATAATATAAGACAATGAAAAAGAAAGTAGTAGCACGATTCCAAAACAATTAGAAAATCAATCATTAAAGAATATCCAAGGAAAACAAATGTATAGTATTTTGTCGTGCGAATATGTCTCTTCATATAACTTACATAGCTGACATGCCATACATATGCTCATATATGGAGATCGAGAGTGTACACATACAAAAATATATCACAAGTCCAATGTATCACTAACCTAACCTCTACCTAAGTTCTATTGGATTAGGGTTAACTCAACTAGAGTTAACCCTAATCCAATGTTGATTATAGATAACATGTATACACATGACAACTTTGGAAGTGATAATACGACATTATTACTTAAAGTCAAAAAATAGTTTTGTTAACTCTACACTTGTTTTCCAATGAGCTCAAAGAAAACTAATCAAAATTATGACATTGGAGCAAGGTCCGTCCATCACACGGATGGTCATGAGTATACTGCTTTTTGAAAATTAGAAAGGAATACTTTGAAAAATAAAACTGTCCACAATCCCTGCAACTCATGTAAAACACCAGAATGAGTTGATGTATAAAATGATTCTTGAATATTAGAATACATATCCATCGTGGTGAACTCGAAGGGTAAGCTCCTAGACATTTGAGGGATTGAGTAATCTGAAAATTCCATTTTGTGTAAAACATCTGAAAATTGCTGAAATATCTGCAGATCATCTTAAATTCAGACTTATGGTAAGCACCCCCAACGTGTTTATAAATAAAAAATATATGATTTTGACTACAATTCATATACAATGTGGTCTCTCATCTTCCCTTTGTATTATTTGATATCTTATTCTAAGAGAATTTCAGAGTAGCAACAGAACAGATACTATTAGGCGAATGAAACATAAGGATAAGAAACACTTTTTACTCTTCGAATATATCCAAATTCTCAAGATGTTCCTTCACAACTCGTCAGAAAAAAAATGATCTGGATAGAAGGATGGATGCAACGAGTACAATAAAAGTACAAGTACTCGTTGACTACCACGCACGCAGCCATGTGTCGTATTTCCGGGAGAAGCTCATTTCAGTTCTTGACATATCATTCGACTTAGTGGACACTTGGAGATTTGCCGTAGGTTCTGATGACCAGGGTTTGATCACTTTTTACTCATTATTAAGAAAGAAAAAGCATGTATCGACGAATGACTAATCACTTCTCATGGAATGAAATACGAACAGATTTACAAAACTTATTCCCAAAAGTAGGAAATTAACTTCCTAGCCGATATATTTCATGAAAGTAGAAGGGATTGGACTTATGAATCACATCGACTCCGTCCTTCATTCTATGAATTTCTGATGTCATTTGTTTGTTATTTTCAGGTCTTTCAGCAGACTGGAAAACGAAATTACGTCTTACCGGGGATACACCCTCGGAAATTCTAGGGAAAAAGGATATTTCTGGACGCGGTATGGAGACTCGTAATGCAACAAGGAACTGCATATAAAGTAAACGCTATTTTCTTTACATTGTGATTGAGGGGTGCCGGATGTAGGACGTGACTATTTTTTCTGCCTTTTCTGTATTGAAACAGGAGTAGGTTTTACATATTCGTTAACTTTATGAATATATAAATCAATCTTAAACCTCATGCGATAAACTATTGATGAAATGAGATTGTAGTTAGATGTCAGTTAAATACTAATATTATGAATTTGTTACAAAAAAAGTTGTTGGGTTTGTATATACTACGTTTCTTTCAGTTTAGTTTGAGGATCTAAAATAGAGATAGAAAAACTGAACTTCGTCTGAATATGTTTAACTTTGCCAAGTCAAAGAAAGGGTAGTTGTAAAATACTGAAACAAAAACAGGATGATAAATTATTGAGCTTCATTTATAATCTTGAGAATTATACACGATGATGAGAACAAGAGTATAGAAACCAAACTAAAAAACAAAAAAGGTCAAATTTGTACCCTTACCCATACGTTAACCATCACTGAGCTTTGTCCACCCATGATATTCAAATGGTGCTGGATTTACAAGGTATTTTTCAGTTCTTTTTTATCATTTGTGCATTTAATAACCTAGAGTTAAAATATTTTCATTTCAATATCACATATGAAATTTCAAAATTTTCAAAATATTCTCTTGTGCAACCATGAAACTAACCAATTTACGCAATGATAGACGAGTGTCAGGTCTCAATCATGGTTCCGAATTAGGTACAAATGGTTCCGGAACCATTTGTACCTGATTCCGGAACCATGGGCAAGTGTGATTATGGATGGCAATAGGTTACAAATGGTTCCGGAACCATTTGTAGCCTATTCTCATCCATAATCACACTTGCCCACCCATGAACAATAATGTAGAACCCATATACACCCAATTCAACTCTGTTGCCCATTCGAATTGACAGTTGTGCAAATTTCAGCCCTGCGGAAGCTTGTGTCCTTTTCCGGAACTCCCTACTGCCTCGCAGCCGTGAATTCTGAGATTCTGGTCAAGTTATGCTTCCAAGAGGGCTGCACGGAGCGATTTTCCAAAGCGTGAGTGAAAAGAATGCAGTCAGCTGAGGTCACACTTCCAGATTCCGAGAGGGCTTTCAGGATGCGAGTGAGAGTGTGTGAAGGTCTTGCTCGAGTAAAACATATTTTTCTATGCGATCCAGCTTTTATGTCGATTTCTGACCCATGGATTTATAAATCACGGGATCGCTGAGACTGAGCATACGTGCGAGAATTGAGAACCCGAGCAGCAGGGGTGGTGCAGAGATTATGCATACGCAAGACGAGGACGTTGCCACTGCACATGTTGCCAAACGAGCTCTCGCCGTCGTTAATGACGACAAACACGTTGAGGCTTACTACATGGGATGGCATGAAGCGCAATCGAATCCCTACGATGCAGTGCAAAATCCTGGAGGATGCATCCAACTCGGCTTGTCAGAGAACACGGTAATTGTCGTGCCTTCGACAATAGCAGAACTTACTCGATCTCTTTCATTTCTGAGTATCAATCAACATCTGAAGTTGTGCGAGGCCTTTATCAAGATCCGGGAGCAGTAAGCAACTGAATGTGTTAATATGAATTGGAGCAGCATATTGACGCTTACCACAATCGTAGAAGATGTTCGCCTGCGAGTGCCTGTGAAGCACTCAACTCATAGTCCACTTGATATCACAATTGACTGTGTTGTCCATGGATCTCTAATCTCAAAGCTGTTAGTACTTTGAGTCGTCTCAGAAGGATGTCCATCCTTTACTTGCTAGAAAAAAGCTCGCTTCCTCGCGTTATGTAATGTGATAATTAACTGGCTTTCAAGATGAGTTCATTTTGAAGCAGCAACAGAGGAGTTTCTCTTCTCTTTGTTTCTGTTCACAAGTTATTTGGCATGTTGTTTATAACAAGTTTTGTCATTCGATTGAGTATGTGTCGTTTTTCTAGTGTGTGGAGATCATATCCTTATATCTGGTGTGAGAACAGCCTTATTTTACCGAGCATACAAGATTGAGGCGAAACCTTCAGCTATACTTGTTTCATATTGGTGTTGTTTCAGTTGTCTCTTGATCTGCTCGACGATTGGTTTTCCACTCACAGTACGGCTCCAGCTCTGGAGCTAGAAAACGTCCTCAACTTCAAGGCTATTGCGGGCTACCCGGATGTTTACCATGGTCTGCTTATTTTTCGAAATGTAAGTTAAACCATTTATTTGAGAGGTATTCAAAATGTCGAGGCTGCACCTTGATTGACCTTCGATACATTTTGTGGTTAGTTGGAACTATTCCTGAGCTTCAGGGCAACTGGGACATATATTCTTCTAACTCAGACATCAAAGTTCTGGTGGTCAGAGATGACATCTATTTCTGTCCTGGTAGCAGCTAATGGCAAACTTCATGAATGAGCTCTATGGTGGAGCAGTATCTTTTGATCCCGAAAAAATGGTCATAACTACGGGTGCAACTTCAGCTATTGAGATCCTGGCGTTCTGCCTGGCTGACCCCGGCGATGTCTTTCTAGTTCCAGCACCTTACTATCCAGGGTATGTTAGCGTCTTCATCATTCGAAAATCAGATTGTCCTCGTCTATCAATTCCAAGTCGGTGTGATGTGATTTGGTGTTTCGCTTTTGTGAGTCCTGCAGAGATTGGTTTGGTCCTCAGCTCATTCACATTATTTAGATGTCCAGAAGGGATCATGGGAGTCCAGACGGATGTCTAAGCTGCATATATTGAGGACCAAGAGGTCAAGGTCTAGCATGTCTTGAGGTTTGCCTCAGAAGTCTGAACCATATGCTGTTGTCGCAGATTCGAAAGGGATATCAGGTTTCGCAGCCAGGTGGACCTTGTGCCTGTTCCAAGCTTCAGTTCAGACGGGTTTGCCGTGACAAGGGCAGCTCTAGAGCAGGCATTCGAGGATGCTGTCAGCCGTGGACGCAAGGTGAAGGCTGTTCTGATGACGTCACCGTCAAATCCCCTCGGTATGACATACAGTCGAGACCAGCTATCTGTGATTCTCGACTTCATCGGCCAGAAAGACATGCATCTCATTTGCGATGAGATATACGCAGGTTCAGTTTTCGGCACCACTGAGTTTATCAGCATTGCTGAGCTTGTAATGCCACCTCGTGTCGACCCTAACCGGGTTCACATCATATACGGCCTGTCAAAAGTTCTAGGCATCCCTGGATTTCGTGTTGGACTCCTGTATTCCTGGAACAGTCTTGTCCTGGATGCAGCAAAGAAGCTCACTCGCTTCAGCTCTGTGCCAACCCTCACTCAGCAGATTCTAATTTCTCTCTTGTCCGATACACACTTTCTTCGACTGTTTCTATCTGAGAATCTCAAAAGACTACAACAGAGATGGAGACTCGTAAGCCATGGATTGCAAGAAGCCGGGTTAGAGTTTGTGAATTGCACGGCTGGGTTCTTTTGCTGGGTCAACATCGGCAAGGTTGCATCCGTGCAGACCAAAGAGCAAGAACTAGAACTGTGGAGTAAGTTGCTTCACGTGGAAGGTTTAAACGTCACTCCTGGATCAGCCTGTCAGTGCTCAGAGCCTGGTTGGTTCAGGCTCTGCTTTGCTTACGTTGACGATCAAACTATGAGTGTTGCACTCGATCGTATCAAGAGATTCACAGCTTCTCTCTAGCAAAATACTCTGGATCATGGTATTGATGAATGTAGTCTCAAGACGGAGTACCTTTTCAGCACTGCCAAGATCTAGGACACTCGTCAAGTCAATCAGTCGCGATTATGTGGACGAGATGCGAGAGAATGAGATATGCTTTCGGAAGCCGGAGTAACAGCTTGGGCTTTGAATTTGAGTCCTGAGGTATCACTAGACACGAAGGGTTGAGTGTCTCACTCGATCGCCCTCGGATGTAGGCTTGTTTACATGCGATGTGGAGTTTCTCAGTGCCACCGTGAATGGTCGGACTTATGGATTACCCAGAACAGTTTAATTTTATCCCTGTCCGTATTTTCATTCTCCTCTCGCAAACTGTGCCCTCTCGAGAACGATCGAAGTTGGCCATCCTCTTCAAATGGAGCCCGAAACGTGGAAGAATCATCTTCGAGCCGCTGGGACTTATCTCGGTCACGCAGTAGTCGCCAATATTGAAGGCTTGCAGAGAGGTGCCGTGTGAACGGGCTTCGAGCTGAATGAAGAAGCTCGAATGGCAAACACAGATTCCACGAAACATCAGGTTGTTACGATATCGGAGGCGGAAGCTATACTTCGAAGCTTTCGAGCAATCAAGGAACTCTTAACTGAACGAGTTGCTGCGTTGATCTCGGAGCACAAATGAGGAGCTCAGAATTGAAAGCATTCTTCTCTGCGGGTGCAATTCTGGCAGGTCTATGGATGTCAGCCCAGTTCACCCTTTCCGCAGCAGAACTTGCCCATGATAATCTGAGCTTGCTTGCATTGGACCTGTCAGCGAGCGATGATCCGACTCAGGATCCTACTCTTCCCCGAACGCAGCCATTCGTCCGGGTATGGCAGAAATCGACTGATGGACCAATCCCTCTCGTGAGAGTGAACTGCCACAGCTCCAGCACGGGCGATGCGGAGATCATAGATTCCATCAAAGCAGGGAAGAAGTTTGAATTGTTCCCGGGGAACGACTCCTTCACCTGCACATTCGTTTGGATGGGTACCGACAGGATGCTGGCCTCTCAGCACTTCGTGATTTACTCGCCTCCAAAAAAGCAAGACGTCCTCATGATGCCCTTCTACTGCAGGCTATGTTTATGGACCTTCGACCACACCGGCTTCGACTTATACAACAATGCCACCAAGTCGTATGTGCAAGCACACAACTGGCTACTCAGCTCAATTTCTTAGAGTCAAGCCCTAAAAGTAACATGTGAAGTTTCCACTTTCCACTGCGGACCTTGTAAACGGAAGAATTTCCCAAAGGAGCTTCTGGGTATGAAATTTCGTCTCACTCTGCATGCTTCTGCTTTGTGACAAGAAGTAGATGACCCCACTTTCAACTTGACTCAATGGCCCGTGAGGAATTTGGACCCTTTCTTGACTTCACGGCGCTCACTCCGTCCGTTTCTTTTTCAAGGTACGAGAGGAATATCATTATTTGATGTTACCAGCCCAGAATTATTTTATTCCACTTTTGACCTCCAACGCACCCAGCGTCATCCGACGGCCATGGCCCACATGAAATCGCAATGCAACGAATAATCGACTAAATGGTGTCCTCGTTCCATGGATTGCCCTGTCAACTGAGGTCGCATCGACAGAAACACAAAATCATGTGAGATCACATTCTACACGACGCGAAGAAGTGAAAGGCAGTCCTGGAAAACGCGACAAATCGACAAATCGACAAGACAAGGCCAGGACTGCGTAGACAGTCTTCTCTGTTCCTTAACTTGGGCGCTTTCGCGTCGTCAGCTGATAACCGATCCATTCCCAGAGTTGTTCTCTTCAGACTAGCGGCAGCTTAATCACTAAAAGTTACTTCTAAAAGCTGGCTTCTACGTACGAGAGAATGTGGCACCATTGTGCACGATGAGCGCTCGGAGTGTTTCGCTCGTCCTTACCCGACTAACCGTTTCCAGCTACCACAAAGACGTGGAGTAACCAACTGCTTTCTCCACACAGAGAGAGAGAGAGAGAGAGTGAGAGAGAGAGAGAGAGAGTAGATGTGATTGACGATCCGGGTTTCGTGGACAAAAACGCGCACCTTTTCAGGGAACAATGTCGAGAGCTCGATGAAGTGTGGGAGCAAAGGGAAGGCGGTAAGGATGGTGGGTCCAAACTACGGACCTCAAAAGAATCCTGGGAGGAACAAGTGAAACCGCCCTTCCAGTGTACATTCAGTTGGATATCCCTAACCCTGAGGTCGCAAATCATTCGCCAGCCCAAGAACACGACCACATTAGACCCTCAAGAAAATTCTTGCTGGTGGATGTCGCGTGGCGACGGAGTCACGCACGAAGGATCCAAATCGCAAGCCGATGAAGGCAAGCGTGCTTTCCACGTTCCCAATAGAGCCACAGTCAATTCTCGTATATTCAATGCACATGGGCACGAAGCCGTGCGTCAACTAGCAGACAGACACTTTCGTGTGCCCACAATGTCGCCGTGCCATATGCAAGCGTCCACCGGCGCCACCTCATTTCATACTTGGTGTACAACTTCCCACCGCCATCTATCCATTCTTTAGCAAGATTGTCCCCCAAATTTGATAGATACAAGCGGCTAGGCCACAACAAACTCGTCGTGGATACGAATCATGATTTTGGCCAACTTAGTGCGTGCTCCGAGGACCACCTTCTGTTTCCATCGTGTATCATGATTTCGATTGGCACTCAATGCCTGCCCTAGTCAGATACACTTTGCAGACTAACTGCACTCGCGCTCTAAATTTCAATGCCTGCCATAGTTACAAAAATTAGGGTTTGTAGAGAAAACTTGTAGTGGCAGATTGCAAGAGAGAAATGTCATCGACTGATGATTTTGGAAGACTAGGTTTCGGAAGCCATATTTGCCACCTCCACCGGGAAGCCAACAGGAGCCAGTGCAACTGAATCCGTGATGGACCTGGCACAAAAGTAGCAGATGAGCATGCACAATCCGCATGTATTCGATTCCGCGACGATCAAATTTTCAACACGAAGCTCCGGCACTGCATTTTCGACATTTGTTTGTTTCTTGGTTACATGTGGCTACTCAATATTTGCACAGAGAAGATTCTGACGATGGAACGACAATTGTAAATTGGAATGAAGAGCTCAAACCATCCGCTTCTTCATGTCTTCGGCTCATGCGTGAAAATGACTTTCGTGGACTGCACACACATCTCCTCGGGAGGTGTGTGCAATCCTTGTTGAGAATGTGGAAGTCCTGATCTATCTTTTTTTAAACCATGTTCACACCTTTCCATCTCAACTGTTTGTGGCTATTGTAAAAGCAGAGTTACCAGGTAATCTTTGATCGAGCATGAGCTACTCTGCAATCACTCTCGAATCTCATATAGTTCTGAGATGAGGAAACAATGAAATATATTCCAGAGCCATTTTAGATGTACAAGCTGCTACACAAGGTGCAACAGGCAGAGCTTTTGATAGTAAGTACTTTGCATTTATGTGAGTAGCTACTTATTCCACCCAATAATTAGTTTTGTTGCTTCGTCGTTCAAATTCTTTTGACTCATCTGGAAATTTCAAATGACATCCAAATAAACTCACCCCTTTATATCAGTTTTTTTTCCTTGATCCAACAAGAACTTGATCACTTAATAAATTCAATGTTTTCAATCTATTGTACTAATGTGTCTTAGTGATTGCCAACATGAGTCAAATTCATCTTTTTATGAACTTTTGATTGATTGTTGAAAGAAGGCCATAGTCCTTGAGTGACAGGTTTTGGATAATGATCTACAAGCAAGTATATCAAAAAATTGCAGGCAATTGTGAACAATGAAATTGAATCCAAAATATTAAACTAAATACAAATCAGACGGGGAGAAATCAAATCAAGATAACCTGTAGCTAAGCAATCCGGTTTTGGAAGAGTTCATCTATGTCAGAGATAAAATATTATAAAGAGGGAAACATTAACAAGCATGTATCTTTGATTCTGATTGGATAGCAGTAACGCAAATAATTCTTGAGTAATTCCAACATCACTCGAGGTATCATTGTGAAGAAATTATCTTATACATTGAAAATACTAATAAGTAGTTTGTTCTTTGTATTATCTTTGATGATATTATCTTTGTGTAATATTCTTGTGGTAACATATATTTAATCAAACATCATTTGATATGGTAAATAAAGAGATATTTTTATCCTCTAACCTAATACATTCTCTGCACGATAATATGTAGATATTTATTTTCTTATTGGAAAAAAAAAACTTCGCTGAATGAAAATGACCAACAAACATTGTATGAACTAAGATAGATAGAGATATAGGGAGAAGTAATAAACTCTGCAATTTGCAAGGTAAATCTGCCTTTTGCAACCGATTTAGAATGGTGCATAATAAGTTTTGAAGAAAACGACGGTAAGAAACTATGAGGATAAAGGGTTTAAGATTCTATGTTCAACAATTTTGATATAAAATAAAATAACAAGAAGGCATTATTTGGATATATATTTGAACTTTATATCATGAATGAAATGTCCAACAAGGATGTACTGGTATCAGGATTTATGACTTGTGTGTAGGTGTACTAACAATAAATACCTTGTTCGTCGTACGTTTCTTGTTATTGACAGTATGGAAGGCTGAACATAAAATATAAACCGTGAAATAGCTTGAATAAGATCCGTTTTTCATACCTTTTGCAGGTTCAGTGACATATAGATGTGAGGGACAAAATGTTTATAAAAATTTTTAACATAAAATATCAATTATGATTTTTATCCTAATATTTTAATTTTCATTACTCAAGTCTAATTCAGCTTGATTTTTACAAATGATTATAATATTGGACGTATCTGTGGCATGTAGCGGGGATAGCTCAGTTGGGAGAGCGTCAGACTGAAGATCTGAAGGTCGCGTGTTCGATCCACGCTCACCGCATTTTGATGACCTTTTTCCAAGGCGACGGTAATGTGCTCACTCAAGCTCGGTGGTTATAAATTAACCTGCACACTAACGAGCAAGTGATGAGCATGTTTACATGTAGTTGAATGCCATAGTCAGGCTTCCGTTGCGTCATCTTCCTGGACTCTTGCCTTGTAAATTCCTCCTTTACCTCCATTACCGCAGGAGTAAGGATCGGTCGGACCACTTGGGCCACACAGTCCAGGAGATGATGGAAGCTCTTAAGCTGTAAACAACAAACACACCTCTGCACAGAATGAATAAATGAGTCAGCCAACATTTGAACATGAAGCCAACTCTACATGGCGAGTTGCTTATCTGTGTGATAAGAGTTTAAAAAGAACTGATTCGCAACCACAAACTGGACACAGGATAATCTTCCAAAACATTTTGTCCTAACAGCCAGATTTTGTCATGATTTTCTGAACACACGCTTTCGGGGGATAATAGGCAAAAACATAGGTGCAAGATATTCTTGTCGAGAAATTGTGCACAAAGGCGCCCATGCTTCTTTCACTTTCCAGATATTCAGAGAATCCAAGCAGGGAGTTTTAAAGGATTGTTCTGTTGTAAAGATGGTCAATCAGATTAGTGTTGAAATCATAAGATGCGCCATCAATCCACTGCGAACAATTGGTCTTCACTATGGTACATGTCTTGAGTATGTTTGACTAGTGGTAACGGATTCTCGGCTCCGTAGGACGTAGGACGCTGGCATCGGAATTTATGTTGTTTGTGCTTACTGAGGTACTATAATTACTGTTACAATATATGCTCGGTGTTAGTCACGATCATATTTATATATTCGCAGGAGACATTGGAACTGAGTGAGGAGATTTCTTTCCAAAACAGGAGATTTTAAACTAGTCGATACCATGTGATATTTATTTACACACTTGAACTTTGTTATTGTATATCATCTACATAGAAACTGGATTTGTCTCAGCCGTTAAAAGCTGAGACAAGATTGGGAGTTATTTAAACACTATCTTAAAGGAAAAAATACATATTCCTGAATTCTTTAGACTAGAGAAGTAAAATAAAACGATGACTTTAAAATTCAAAAAAGTCAAACTTTGAACTTCTGCACCGATCTCAGTCGAGATACAGAGGTGAGCGATCGTTTCTTCAGCACAGCATCATGGGCGATGAATTCCCATCCCATGCATCCCAACAAGTCGCTGGATGTAGATAGATGGAGGAAAGCAAAATTAATGGAATGAATGGAGTCTAAAGTCCACCAGAAATTGAACAGGTTAGAGAGTTACTATGGCAGCAGGAGAGGAGGTCTGCAAAATGCACGAAGATCACGTTGAGAATTGCCCTTGGCCTTTATATAGCAAACACTACTCCACCAGGAGGACGGTGCACTTATGTGCCATGGGCTAGAGACATCATGAGTATGTAAACATAGAATGTGCAGTAGTGTTTTCAGGTGAATAAGCAACTACTTGTATTCATTCAGTCATTTTACCTCAATTGAATGATTGGACCTTGTTTCTCAATATGGTTACTTTTTTATGTTGTATGTTGCGAATCTTCAAGAGATTGTATGACGCTTGAGAACGTCGCTCATGAAAGCAAAATATCTCCGTCATCATTTATCTTTCTCGGCCAGAGTGCTTTTTGAACCACAGATTTCTCTCACTATGGAAGAGGCAAGACACATTTGAGGGCAGTTTTGTTGTCTTTGGAGTACATAGACTCATCAGAGTAGTTTTATGATCTCATCCATCAAGGAGAAATATATGATGAACGAACTTGCTTTTTCTTCTCTAGAGTAGCTAGACGTGATAAATGTGTATACTGATTCCATGTTTCGTTCATTGCTCTTCTGCGCACACCTCTTGTATATTCCTCCCCACTATCTACGTATCTTGCTTCATGGTTTTCGATTCGGCTGGTGTTAGAGGACACTGAGGAAGGAACCTCAACTTCCAGCAATGCGAATGATAACAGCTTTTTGTTGGGAATAGCTGGTGCAGGCTTCTCAACCCCTTCACTTGTCATGATTTTCTGAAAGTTGAGCAGTATGACACTTTTCAATGTTTTTATTTTTCTGGAAATGCAATAATGATAATAGATTACCCCAAGACTTGAGAAGAACAGGAAGACTGTACATTGTACCAACACGTACGACAAATATCTACTTCCTGTAGCTGCCGTCGTTGGAAAGAAGGACCTCAGCTTCTCAACATATCCGTCTATGAAGGCAGGCTCACCAGAGAACTTGAGTGGAATAACCCAAATGCATAGTTTAGCAGCGCCGCACTCATTTCATTACCTTATGCATGAGAGAGAGGGAGAGAGAGAGAGAGTAGGTGGCAGGAACCTTTTCCACCGACGGGTCTCAGTTCAGTCTGCCACATCCTCGATCTTGGTCAGGAGACTGTATGGTGTAGAGCCATGCATGTCTCCGTGCCGCCCTCTCTGCTGCTTTAAAAGTGTCTCTGTTTTGGCATGTCTATGTGCTCCTCTTCCTTGTCCGTATCCGAACACACAAGTCTGAGATAAAATATTGGCCGTCTGCCCACAGATCTGAGTCAGAGTACATCACAATATCCTTCTCCGCATACTCGTCGTTGAGGCTCGCTTTCCCTGCTGGTCTCC